CCAACACATTTTAACTTTCATGCTACCCTTATGTTACAGCAACAGGCTTTAGTTTTACGTGGAAGTGCCAAGTGTCGTGTTAGTCGGGGCTAGTGGTGATTCTCTCAATGTCTTAGGACTGGTGGTGTGCCCTGGATGTTAGCCGTAGCTGTTGATCTGATCAGTGGCATGGCTCTGCATTCTGGATGCCCAACAAGCAGATTTGGCTGGCATGTTTTGAACAAGATTTCTCTGCATATCCTGTGTAAAATCAGCCTTCAGTTTAATGGGGGAAAAAGTAGCCTTTTTACAGAGCACATGTTGGTTTTGGTTGTGCACATCTTTCTAACTGCTTTCCAGTAAAATCCACATACAGGTATCCTTGGGACTGTGTTATTTTAGTAAAGCTTTTAAAGAGGACTGACCTTCAGTAGCTTCCAAGAGAAGGATGTAAGGTCAGTTTTCTCATTGTGCCTCCTGAAAGACAGAAACACAACTATATTTTTCTTCCCTGCATTTATTGCAAGACCTTATTCTGTTTCTATGTCTGTCAGCTTTGTGTTGGAGTGCTTCGTCTCTTCATTCCTGCTGCTCTGCATTCAATCATCTTTTCTTATTCCATGTTACACTTGCAAACAGCAGGGAAAGTTTTTACGGGGCAAATGATAAAATAGCCACTGGCAAGAAGACTTTATTCCCCCATCTTTGAGTTCCCATGACTTTTTTAGTGATGATTAGTCTAAATAGAGTAGCAGAGAGCCAAAGAATGAATGGTCTCTAAGAAAACCCTTCAGAAATCTGGGCCATTGAGTCATGAATCCCAAAGCTGGTGGTTATCAGAAGCTTGTTTAGGGTGTAGCAGGGGAATTACTCTATGCTTCTTTTCTGCTGAGCCTTTCCTAGCCCTCCATTGTCCATCACATGCAGAGTGCCTGGCCCCATGAAGCTGGGTATCCTGCCAGGCCAGTCCCGGCGGTGGGAAGATAGCTGTGAGGTGTGAGGTGGCATGCTGGAGGCAGAGGGGAGGTTGGGGAATGGGAAGGCCTGGCCTCCCCATGCCAGGGCTGCTGCCATTGTCAGGTCATTGCTTTCCGCTCGGCGTGAGCTGCTGCCTCATGCGGCTCCTCAGAAAGCGGACCTGCTGCTGTGATTTCCCATAAAGGCTTTTCCTCATATGTGTGCTATATCCATCACTTCAACTGTAATTAGTTCAAATGCTGATGTGAAAGATGTAAGAGAAGTATCCCTAAGGGTGGACTGTGTTTGAAAATTTGCCTCTCTGTCAAACGCGCAGTGGGCTGTGGGAATGCTTTCTTCCATCGTGCATTCTGGTTGGCTTTGAGAAATGGTTGAATAAATTTTTAATGATTTTATTTTTCCCTGACACTTTTCCATGGTTTTTATTATTCCGTGCGGGTTGCTCAGTCGGTCAGAGGAGGAGGAGGAGGAGGAGGAGGAGGCATTAGCGTGTCCTGGGAGGCTCTGCCGGGAACTGGGTTATCACGCTGAGAGGCTGCTGTGAGTGTTTACCTCTCATCACAACAGATCTGCTGATGCCATTTGATTATTAAACAATCTATATTCCTTGCTCAGGCTTTTGGAGGCTCCCAGCAGTTTTAACCTTGTTACTAAAGGTGATTTTGTGCTCTTAGTTGGTGAGTCAGGCAGCGAGGCACTGGCTGAAGCCATTTTGTGACAAAGCCTTTCTGTCATGACACGAGCTGGGAACTGTAGGTGTGTTTCAGGAGCCACATGCACACCCTTAGGTGACCCCATTTCTCGCTGGGGGTGTGGCAGTGGTCTATGCTGGCATGGAGCTGTTGGTGTGGACCCAGTAGAGGTGCCCCAAGCTGGAAGGTGTGATGTCTCTGCTGGTGCTTGGCCATACTCAAGCTGTATGTCAGTTGGCTTCAGCTGAAATGTGTTTTTGTGCGTGTGCTGCCAAGGTACTGCTAGTTTTTGCTACAAAAGAAATTGCTGTTGGTTGGCACTTTTGGTTCTCTTAAGAAAACAGGGATATAAATTTCCTTTAAATGGTGTGACTTTGTTGGTGAATTTGGACCACCAGAACATGTACTGCTCCCAGCTCTGCTCTTTGCATGCTGTTGAACTCCTGTTTTTACAGTCTGTGTGTGTGAGCGTGCTTCTGTGTGTGTTCCTCATGGGTGTTCCTCTCTTTTGCCCAAATGGATCATGTAGAGCCATCGCCTATGTCCTGGTTTCATCTAGGATAGAGTTATTTTTCTTCCTGGTAGCTGATGCAGTGTTGTGTTTTGGCTTCAGTCTGACAACAATGCTGACAACACACTGATGGTTTAGTTGTTGCTAAGTGATGCTTATCCCTGTCAAGGTCTTTTCAATCTCTCATGCTGTGCCAGTGAGGAGGGCACAAGAAGCCAGGAGGAAGCAGAGACAGGACACCTGATCCAAACTGGCCAAAGGGGTCTTCCATACCACAGCACATCATGCCCAGTGTATAAACTGGGGAGAGTGATCTGGAAGGTCCAGATTCCTGCTCAGGTCAGGCTTGGTATTGGATGGGTGAGCAATTATATTGTGCACGCTTGGGTTTATTTTTTTCCTTTCTCCTTTTAGTTTTATATTTTCTTCCCCTGTTATTACCATTATTATTATTATTGCTATTATTATTATTATCATTCGTATTATATTGTGCTTTAGTTATTAAACTGTTCTTATGTCAACTCATGGGGTTTACATTCTTCTGATTCTCCTCCCTGTCCTGCAGAGGGTGGGGAAAGGGGGGGTGAGCAAGTGGGTGTGTGGTGCTGACTTACCAGCTGGATCTAAACCATAACAGCATAATTCATAGGAAATACAACCAGTGTGTGACAGAGTAAAAGGCAGTCCTTGCTTCCTTATGGCAGTAAAAGTTCTTAACACTGCATATGCAATGCTTTTAAACATTTAAAAAACTCAAGAAACAATCTGTTCTATATAACAATAATGAAATTACATGGTACTAATAATAATAATAGGGATAATAGTGCTTGGCCATGCTTTTTCTTGGAGGTGGAAACCATGCTAAAGTTCTGTTTAAACTTGGAGCTGTGAGTGCTTGGCATCTTCAGTCACTTTGACTCACATGTGCTTTCTTGGATCACAGTATCTCCTTGTTTCACAGCTATAAATATATTTATGCTTTTTAATAATTTTAGTATACATGCCGTGTGAATTGACAAGTGTTATTTGTTGTGTCATTACATCAAACCTTGAACTGTATTGCAAATACAGCCAGTAGCAACCAGAGTGTGTCTGCCCATTTGCTCTGGGTATGTCTCTTGCATTAGAATCATAGAATCACAGAATAGTTAGGGTTGGAAAGGACCTTAAGATCATCAAGTTCCAACGCCCCTGCTGTGGGCAGGGACACCTCGCTCTAAACCATATCACCCAAGGCCTCGTCCAACCTGGCCTTGAACACTGCCAGGGATGGAGCATTCACAACCTCCCTGGGCAACTCATTCCAGTGCCTCACCACCCTAACAGGAAAGATTCCCTCCTTATATCCAATCTAAACTTCCCCTGTTTAAGTTTTAACCCATTACCCCTTGTCCTATCACTACAGTCCCTAATGAAGAGCCACTCCCCAGCATCCCTATAGGCCCCCTTCAGATACTGGAAGGCTGTTATGAGGTCTCCACGCAGCCTTCTCCAGGCTGAACAGCCCCAACTTTCTCAGCCTATCTTCATATAGGAGGTGCTCCAGTCCCCTGATCATTCTCATGGCCCTCCTCTGGACTTGTTCCAACAGATCCATGTCCTTTTTATGTTGAGGACACCAGAACTGTACACAATACTCCAAGTGAGGTCTCACGAGAACAGATAAAGTGGCAGGATCACCTCCTTACAGTAGGTGTATTTTCTTTCATCTTCTGGAACCTGGAAATCAAATTCTTCCAGCTTGTTCCTTTTAAATGTGTGCTGATTTTGGCTGAGATAGAATTAATTTTGTAAACCATAGGTGCTAATTTTAATCCAAAACATAGTTCATATTAACTACTATGAAAAAAATTAACTCCATCCCAGCCCAAACCAGCACATTCTCCACCCCTTATTCCATACCATTTACATCATGCTCAGGTCCTGCGCTATCCAGTACATTTTTATTACCCACCACCACCCTTCCCATGCTTTACACAGATACCATTCCTTTATTTTATGGACCATCCCTGTGAAATAACTTTAAAATATCCATAAATGTCCACTGAGTTCATTTAGTCCATGACTTCGGGCTCTGCGTGTTATGGTGGTCATTCAGGGCAGGAGAGGTGATGTTCCATGGAGCTACTGGACACCAAAGCCAGGTCAGTTTCAGCCACTGCTTCTCATGCCCTGTCGTGGTTTAACCCCAGCCAGCAACTCAGCCCCGCACAGCCTCTCTCTCACTTTCATCCGGTGGGATGGGGGAGAGAATCAGAAGAGTAAAAGTGAGAAAACTCATGGGTTGAGATAACGGCAGTCTAAGAGGTAAAGCAAGAGCTGCACAAGCAAAGCAAAACCAGGAATTCATTCACCACTTCCCATGGGCAGTCAGGTGTTCAGCCATCTCCAGGACATTGGGGCTTCATCATGCATAATGGTTAGTTGGGAAGGTAGATGCCATCACTCTCCCCCCTTCCTTCTTCCCCACCTTTACATGCTGAGCGTGACTCCATATGGTGTGGGATATCCCTGGGGTCAGTTGGGGTCAGTTGGGCTCAGCTGTCCTGGCTGCGTCCCCTCCCAGCTCCCTGTGTACCCCCAGCCTGCTCACTGGTGGGGTGCTGTGAGGGACAGAAAAGGCCTTGGCTTTGTGTAAGCACTGCTCAGCATTAGCTAAAACACCCCTGTGTTATCAGCACTGTTTCCAGCACAGATCCAAACCACGGCCTCAAACTGCTACTATGAAGAAAATTAACTCCACTCCAGCCCAAAGCAGCACAAAATGGTCTATTTTATGATGAAAAGGAGATAGAGAATCTTTTTCTATTTTATAATCGTAATTAAATTTATTTTTGTAGGTGTAGCATCTATGACTGTGCCAGTGTACATCGCAGAAGTTGCTCCGCCACACTTAAGAGGCAGATTAGTCACCATTAACACTCTATTCATCACTGGAGGGCAGTTTTTTGCAAGTGTCGTTGATGGAATCTTCAGCTACCTCGCGAAGGATGGATGGAGGTTTGTGAATCTTCCTTGCTAAAAGGAAAGCTGGCGGGGTTGTGATTTGGTTGGCAGCTGTTATAATTCTTGTTGGTAAAATAGAGTTTATGTCTACAGTGGTAAAGCTGTATACTGAAATGGAACTTTAATAATTAAGTCTTCATAAATGATATCTGTACTGCTTTCACTTAGGCTTAATATTCAAAGTATGCTTAGGTGTTTTGATTTTGCTAAACTTTAAAATGGATGAGCAATAAATATGCCTCAACAAGCTTGAATGGTTGGCATGTTTATGAAAGTAACTTGCCTCTTGCATTTAGAATAATTACATGGTGATTTTTCAGAAAGTGAATTTCCAGGAAGAGTGATGCTCTATTTGCAAAATAGTGGTGTATGTTGAGTATTCTTAAACTGAGCACACAACTGAAGGATATTGTAGCATGACTTCCTAGTTGAAAGCTTAAGTTATAGAATATATGATTCTATTTTATTCTACTTTCTGGATAGTATGTTCTTGCTGGAGACAATGCTAAGTGATTCTGGACTGTACCCATATACCTGCTGTATTTATAGTGGTGTGTCATTTGAGAGCGATGAGAAATCTCAGTGACTTGGTATTTTACTTGCTGACTTGAAAAAATAATTAACAGAAATGTGTAGGAGGAATAACTTACATTGTACATTCTAACTTCTGGAAACTTGTGCTTAATTATGTGTGCTCTTGTCTTCAAACACTCTTGGGAAAGGGACACATGTTGTAGGGCCTTTGATTTCTGTTGCTACAGGCTGGAGTAATTTTGCTATTTGAAAATTTTAATTTGAAGGATACCACCCGCAAAACTTTGCAAGTTAAATATCAGGTTCTCTGGCTTGTAATGGAGCTAAATAGCTCCATTTTTAGGTGCACTGTCATCGGAGGTTTAAGTTAGGAATAATTAATTTGGGACTTGGTACATAGAAGAACTTGGAAGCTGATCTTTCTGTAATGTGTAAAGAAATGCATATTAAAATGTTGAATATGCATGAAAATAAGAAGTTAGTGTTTTCTTAATTAATCTATGCTTTAATTTGTGTATGTTTGAAGATTCCGGAATTTTGAGGTTTTTCATTTTTGTCCATGCAGTTGTTTCCTTTGCCTCTTTTATAAGAAGATGTAATATTTTGATCTTAAAAAATAGTCACTTAATGATGAGTTAATTTTAATTTAATGTTAAGTTCTAGCTTTGCTTTGTGCTTTCTGAAAATGCATTGGTTACCTTGGCTCATATACAAATAGCATTTTGCATTTTTACATGAAGCTTTTCATGACCTTTTTATTGTACTGCATTTGCATTCTCTGGCAGACTATGTGTCCACTGATGGAGAATTAAGAAAGAGCCTTCACTGAAAGAAAAACTTAGTTTTGTAGGATTGCTAATCCCTTTCTGCAGGTAAAGAAATACGCTCAATTTTGAGGAAACTTAATGACATGCAGTAATGCTTTTCTAAGTAAGATACAAACTGAAGTGTTTGATACCTGATTCCAATTATTCAGTAATTGCTTCATTATTTTTAATTACCTTTTAGCCAAAATAATTTGTGGACGTAATGGCCCCTTATGCATAGGGCTCAGTGAGAGGAATGGACAAGATATTTCTTTAGAAGTGGAGCTCTGGGTCCCTGCTGCTGTTAGAGACATTGTGCACTTTCTGTTTAGGCAGATTTTTCGATTTCAGTTTACTTCAGCGAGTAGGGATTCAGCTGGGAGAAGCTTCTGTGGATGTATGTCTGTTGTTTTTTTTTTTTCCCTATTAGTGCCCTGACACATAGGGAACTATGATTCATGAACACATAAACACACATAGTGTTCATTACCTGTGTGTTTCAGTAAATAGTAGCACATTGGAAGAAAAATACAAGCTAACAAAGTATATGTCAGATACTGATCTTATTGGACTGGTGGCTTTTGCTTAATTGTTCAGGTAAACTAAGATACTCCTTAGCTTGAGTTTTTGTAGCACTTCTGGGCTTCTTAGGGAAAGATAAGCATTGTGATATGGAACGTACCAGTTTTCAAATTGAGCAGTGACACAGGATTGACAAGTACATTTGTAGGTAAATGATTATTTAAGGGAAAAAGATCATTCCGGTTTGTTACACACATGCAAGTTACTGTCTTTTGATATGTTACTTTGTAGATATATTTAGCTACAGTAGAAGATTAGGTGGAAGGCAATAATCTTTGTCAAATGTAGATTTCATCTTTGTGTAAAACACTCATGCCACTATACCTTAGATAGGCCACACCCACTGAAATACTGCATAACTCCTCTGAGGACTTCCACACTGGTGTAGCTTCTTCTGCTTAGAACAAAAAACCCTCTACTCTGGCATAATTCAGGCCTTTAACCTAGCTGAACTAAAAAAAAATGGAAAGTAAAATCTAGAACTTGTGGATTGAGTCAGACAAAGAGGCTTGATCAGAGCTGTGTGAGATGCTGGCTTCTGAAAATCTCCAACAATGGACATGTCAATTTTCGAAGACAGCTTGTTCAGTTACTCCTACTATGAAGAATTGTTTTTTCCCTCATTCTTTCATCTGAACTTTCCTGATGCAGCTTGCGACTGTTGACTCTTGTCTTTTCACAGTGTACATAAGAGAAGAATCTTTTTCCATCTTCTTTACGAGCTCCTTTTCAGTTATGAAAGATGCAATTAGATCTCATCTGGATCATCTCTTTTCTGGGCTGCACAAACCCAGTTCTCTCAGCCTCTTTTATGCCATACACTACAGTTGTGTGACTGCCTTAGTGATCTATTGCTTCCTGGTTTAGAGCTTTCTCTCACATTGGTGGTCCCAGTCTTCCAGAGGAGCAATTGTTACTTGCAGTCTGATGGCTCATGCTGGATAACTTTTGCTAATGCTGTTTTTAGTAGTGTTCCGCTGGATTGAGTGAAGTAAAACCATTGATGATTCATTGGGCAGAAGCTGAGGCTATGGTAGTGGTGAGCTATCCAAGGATTCTTACCTGCAGTGCTGGAGCTGTTAATTTGGTATTGTGTACTTGTCTGCCAGCAGTTAGTTTTCTGCAGCCTAACACTGAGCAGGGAAGAGTACAGATGGTATGTCACCTGGGAAGAGTGGCCAGTGAATGCACGGGAAGAAATCACAGATGTTCACTCCTGAGGCATTACGTATAAGAAGGAAAATTACAGCGATTACTGTAGCTCTTAGTGACTGAATGGTTAAGTACTGGAGTGCTACACTCCAGTTAGAGTAAGGAACTTTACTTTTTCTTTGCTCTGCTTGTTCTAGGGAATGCTGGATATTAAATTAAAAATAAACCAAAGAAAACAAATATTTAACCTTACTCTGATGTCAGGCTAGCTTTATAAACCTGGCTAATGCCATCTTAATAGTATTGCAGCAGTATGTCTGAGAAGGAGAAATGTTACAGCAGACTTATTAAATTTCATGCTGGATTTTTTCAGGTCTGCTAGACATCTGCCTTCAAATGCAAAGCCTTGTACTCTGTATAGGAAAGAACTATATTAGATTTCTGAAAGCTGTCTCAATGCATGAGACATCTAAAATTGCCTGCTTTTACTCTCAATTGGTTAGATCAAAATTGCTTGATCTGAAAATTGCGTCAACTCTTGAACTTGCAGTGGATGTATGCTCTTAACTGAATGTTTTCCTTCTGGCCTGCTCCTTGTTCTCAGCTTTGATGAGAAGCATGTCAATTGGAAGCTGACATGAGTGAGCACTTTCTGTACATTTCTTTTTTGTCTTGCTTGCGATAAACATCTCTTCAATACAGTCCAACTGGTAGCGTTAACAGTCTAGATTGAGCTTTCAGGGGCCTCAATTGATTTTGCCTCCCAAGATGATTGCAGGCACCTAGCTGCTTAGTCCTGGAGACTCTGTTGCATATAAGGGACTGAAGGGCTTTGAAGGAACAGAAATTAGGTAATATGAGTATAAAGACTAAATCTGTTTATTTTGATGCATTAAAAGGTCTTTTTGTTTGCAGTATGACAGAATACAGTGATTGTGGTTTTAATCTCCATGGTTTTGTTTTACTCTTCATTTGAAATAGAGCTTTCTAAATACTACTCTAATGCAGACATTGAATATACAATTTGGTGAGCTTCAGTGATGTATGTGTAAAGGTTATTCTGTATACAGCTACAAAATGTTTGTGGAGAGGGAAAATCATAGGAAGAAATGAGGACTATTAATGAGAATGTTAGTGAATGAGGAATGGAAACATAAGTGAGTTAGTGACACTTGTTGGATATGTTGGCTGAAGACTACTCAACTAATAATCCTTCCACATGCTTTAACTAACGATGAGCTACACCATTCTTGAAGTGTTAGCAAATAAGAGATGTTAGAGTGTTAGAAAGTAAGAAATCTGCTCACAGATTTCTTTCTAGAGCAAGATTACTTATATGACCTTTGGAGATTTTTCCTGGTTTTAAGAAGAACCTGAGGGGTCAACATGGGGATGGGAAGACTGGCTTGCGTGCACATTGTCCTGGGATGGCCATCCTCTTTGCATTACCTTTGAGTGTTCTTGTTCTCATTCTTCAGTTTTCTGCCCTGTTGTATTGCTTATGTTTGTCTTAAACCTGCAAATGGCTTAAAGAAAGTCTTTTTTCTGTTTTCATCCAAAATGCGTTTGGATTTGACAAAAACATTAGGTTTGTTGCCCCGAAACAAGGTTTCCATGATCACTGTGCTCTTTCCTACTCCCATTAGCAGTCTCATCCATAGCATGCTTTATGAAAACACAGAGGTGAGGGACTGGTGAATCGTCCCTGTGAAAGCCTGCATGAAGAGAGGAGCTAGAAGAGAGATTAGCATGTCTCCTTAATCTTCTGACTGATGTCAAGGTGTGAACCTGTTTATGAGTACAGACCACCTCAGTATTTAGTCTGAGGGCTATTTCCTAGAGGTATTTTAATGATTATAACCACTGATAGTGAAACTTGGGATAGCTACAATAATGTACAGGTAACATCAGCACCATTTAAAGTCTTTAATGGAAATGAAAAAATATCTCAGTGAAGTGCAAATGGGAAAAGGTCAGGTTTAAAGAACAGAACCAAATTATATGCTGGTCTGCAGTTCTAGTTAATTTTCTTACTGTTTTATTTCAGGAATATAAAATTTGATGTGTACAGACCAGAACAACCCATGAATGTTGGTGGTTTGCTTGTATTCCACAGTTTTTCCCCCCCCACGTCAGCAGGAGTGAACCATGATATCTGTGGGTGTTGTCAGAGGTGTCACTGCTGATCCCTGGAAGCATGACTCTCTGGCTGGTGGTAATTCTTTGTTGAGTAGAGAACTATCCTTAATATAGTAACCCCTCCTCTGCTCCGGCATCTCAAATTCAGTTTTGATTTAAAATCTAACATTGCAGCTGGCTGAAGAGTTAGGGGCAGAGTCTCCAAAAGAGCTGGTGTTAAGCACTGTGCTGGTAAAATGTTTTTTTTTTTTTTCACTGTTTCTGCTTATAGTTAGACATTTTCAAAAGTAAAACTGGCATCTCCTTACACAAGAGGCATATTCCTCAGTCAGCCGAGTCTTCTCATAGCATGTTCTCATAGGCAAATGTTAGGCATTTATTTCTTTGTTTACTTATTTCCAGGTACATGCTGGGACTCTCAGCTGTTCCAGCAGTTATACAGTTCTTTGGATTCCTGTTTCTTCCTGAAAGTCCTCGCTGGCTCATTCAGAAAGGCCAGACTCAGAGAGCACGGAGAATCCTGTCTCAAATGCGTGGCAACCAGGCAATTGATGAAGAATATGACAGTATCAAAAACAGCATTGAAGAAGAAGAAAAAGAAGTTGGAGCAGGTATCTTGAATACTTGTTGGTCTCTCTGCCTATCCAAATGAGATAAAAATCAGAAGGAATGTTGAAGCTGTAGCCTGTGGGAACATGATGTTTTGCTTTTACTTGTCTGTTTTGCTGTTGTTTGAAATATTTCGTATACTGGTAGCTTCAAAAATGAACAGTTGTTTCTATGATCCTACAGTTTTAAATTAGATTCTGATTTCTAAGTGAGGAAAAAGTAAAGTTGTGTAAAATTCTAAGTTTATACCACCTACACTTAGGTGAGAGCTGCTCTCAACAAATCACTCGGTTTAAGAATGCCCATCATGAAGAGTGGAGATAATTAAAATAAAATTTGGTTTCTTTCATCAGTGTAAAAGGCCAAACAGACACTAGGGAGGTCCGAAGGTATTTTACATGCCTGAAATACCCAGAGGCCATATCCTGGCCAACTGTATTCTAGACAAGCAGCCTTTGGAAAGTTTGGAAAGCCTTCAGAAAACTAGGCATGCAGTATAGAAATTCTTTTTCAGTAAATGCAACCTCTGACAGTCCTTTTTGACTGCCCCCAGGAAAATAAGGCATCTAAATAAAATCTGGTTGTTTTACTCTTTTTTTATCCTTATGCCATAATTGCTCAAAATTTTATGTACGTACCAATGCGTGCACTTAAAAAGCAAGATTACCATTCCATTGACTTTCTGTCCTCTACATACTTATCCTTGGCTTTGTGCTCAAAGTGATATAGCCAGAATCTCAAGTAAGGCTCTTAAGTAAGACTTGTCTTACTTCTTTAAACACTGATAGGAAAACACTGTAACTTCTCAAAGCTGGTGGAAAGACAAATGCAAGTTATCTTACATCTGTGTAAATTGAGACTGAACATCTTATAATGCCTAATCTCATTGCCTCGTTGAGCTTGGCTTTGAGCCTTACAATAAGTAATTAAGTATTCTATGATTCTGTGTATCTGGAAAAAGTCATTTGACACATGCTAGTGAAGGGATTTTCAAAATATTCACTGCTGTGAAGCAGGAGTTTTTTACTCCCATTATGTTTTTGAGGCTTTGGATTTTTTTTTCCAGTTTTTGGGGCATGGGGAGGCATGGGAAATGAAGTTCATTGAAGCTGATCCAATAAAAAGCAGAAGTGGATGTTCATAGAACAGTTTAGAGTCCTTTGCTGAGGTTCTCAATCCTAATTAGGAATTGGGATGCTCAGTTCTGTGAAAGGCCACTTAATGTGTAGCATTAAAGTTTTTATGCTTTGTAGAAAGAAAAGGAACAGATGTTTGCCCCATCCAGTCACTTATTTTCAGTCACTGGGCTATGGGGTATGACCTTGTTTCTCTTGCTTAAATCTTTCCTCATGCTGCTGTTTCACTGTTTGTTGTAAGACTGCATTAGGACTGACTCCAGCTCAGTTGTTAAATCAGTCTTCTATACATTGGTAACTTGGACTGGCACACTGATTGTGAGGTTGTTGGCATTCTAGAATGTGCAGATCTCTTGGCTTCCCCCTGCCTTGCCAGAAAACTTACTGTAGTCCTGGAGGTTAGGTAACTCAACCACATTTTAGTAGAAAGCTTGGCTACACAGAATCAGTGTTTTCTTCTCAGGTAGTCCACAGCTTCAGGTTTGTCACCAAAGGGCATTAAAAAAGTGGGAAGTATATGCTGTCCCACTTGTTATAAGTGTTTAGCAAATAGGCATTAGATATATAGTGGCTTTCATTTTTGTTTATCACTTGGTTGTATTGTACTTCATCCCATTCAACCCAAAGTCTTCATTGTTACAAAAAGGTATGTTGTATGTCAACATCAAGACATACATTATTACCTTTCTGCGACTTTCAGGTTGTATTTACAAATTGTATTCAATTGTAACTACTTACATTTCTTGAGGAGTTGCCTGAATCCTCAGTATTGAATCTGGCATGCGTAGTGTAAGAGCAGCTTGTGCTCTTGCAAGAGCAACTGTTCCTGGTTACATGGTGTTTAGGTATTGACAACTAAAATGCGTGCTTCTGCAAAGACTATATTTCATTTTTCATGTGTATTTGCACAGGGTTTTTTTTTCTTTTGCTTGGGTTTTTTTTTAGTATATATATTGCTGTAGTACTTTCTGTTTTCATTTCTCCCATTTGTGGCAGACAGTGTTTTAAAACGGTAGTTAATAGCAATGATAAAGGATAGTAGCAATTCCTATCAGATGTTGTGGACATCATACCAGTTTTACAAAAAGCTTTAAATGGCCCTGAGCTGACAGTGCGTGTATGTGGCATTCGAGGAAAGATAGCTTTGTAGATTGTAGATTGAAAATCATCTTACTTTTGCCTAGAAGGGCCTTTTCCTTTTCTGTCTTGTCTTTTCTTGAAAAAGAACAGATTTTTTTTTCATTAATTGAAATATGAGCATCTTTGCCAGTTTCTTAGGGCATCATTTCCTAAGTGAAAATAGGTCTGTGTTTGACTCCTTCTCTGAAGGGAGTAACAGAATGCAGCCGTAACATGTTCTCCAGTCCCACACTGAAAGCTGTAACGCTTTTTGTAACTGTTTCATCAACTGTTCAGGTCAGGGAAATAATGAATCACAGGGGAACTTCATCTGTGTTGTTTAAACTGCTTTCTTCAAAGTCTGGTTGTAGTGTCTGTCGTAGAACCAGAGAAGTCCATTGCTTTTTCCACATGGTCATCAAGCAGCTTCTGTCTTGAAAATAATGAAGATTCCCTCAGCAAGAAGCTTCTGTTTCAGAAGTCTTTTGTATCAATGTTCAATACCTGTTAAGCAAATTATTCACATTTCTTTATCCTTTCCAATACATTCATCCAGTTCACTGCTGCTGATACTGCTTAGCAGCTTATATATTAGCATTTTCAGATTGGTAGCTGGAAAAGGATGTATCTTTTTGACAAATGCTTTCCCAGTGACTGGTTATGCAAATGGCATTTATTCTGGCAGTTGTGAATACTGCTTTTGCATGCTCTGTGCTATACTCCCAGTCTGACTTTTGGTTTTGTAGCCTTGAACTTTGTCATGGTTTAAGCCAGCCAGCAAGCCAGAACCATGCAGCCACTTGCTCACTCCCCCCTTCTCTCCCCCTGCTCCCGAAGGGATGGGAAGGAGAATCGAAATAACGTAACTCCCGTGGGCTGAGATAAGAACAGTCCAGTAACTAAGGTATAACAGAAACCACTACTGCTACCACCAATAATAATAATGATAAGGGAAATAACAAGGGAAGAGAATATAACTGCTCACCACCTGCCTACCGATACCCAGCCCAACTGAGCAGTGATCTAGCCCTTCCAAGTAACTGCCCCCAGGTTCACATCCTGGGCATGACATGCTGTGGTATGGAATACCTCTTTGGTCAGTTTGGGTCAGGTGTCCTGTCTCTGCTTCCTCCTGGCTTCCCCTCCTCCCTGGCAGAGCATGAGACTCACAAAGTCCTTGGTCAGAGTAAACAGAGTAAACAACAACAACTAAACACATTGGTGTTATCAGCATTGTTCCCAGGCTGAAAGTCAAAACCACAGCACTGCACCAGCTACTAAGAAGGAGAAAAATGACTGTGACTGCTGAACCCAGGACACACTTCAAGAACCGAATGGGAGAACATCACATTCTGCATTAACATTATGAGCTGAATCTTGGTCAAATCTAGCTAATCATCATCAAACATCATCTCCCTTTCGGCTTGTGAGGCTGTACTGCAAAAAGGGAGCTAGTGACAGGAAAATCAGGGGTAAAAGGACTATGAGGAAGATGTAAAAGAGAGCTCACCAAGAGTTGTGGAGACGGTAGTTTGTAGGTGTGAAGTGGATTTCCCCGTCAAATATGCTATGGATCCCCAGTGGATTCCCCAGTACTCAGCTTAGGCTCTGAAGCCTAAAGGAAGACAATAGTCAGAAGGTGGCTGCAACAGAATGAAGAATCAAAGACATTGCTAGGAGAGTGTTCTGGGGCTCTTCATAGCAAAACGTGTCTGACTTTCACTGCTGCTGAATTGTATTTTTTAGTACAGTTAGGTCAGGGATTCTGTACTGCACGTTAGTTAAAAACAGGCGATAAAATCACAGCAAGTAGGTAAGCACAGTGGCTTAATTACACAGGTATAGATGAAATTGCTTGTGTTCCTAAGTGAATTACAGCGTGGGTTTGTAATGCTAGTTCTAGAGTAAGCACTTCGGTGTGAATTTAATGTGTCAATTTTGTACATAAGAATAAAGCTACTAGCAAGCCGTTGGTAAAAGTTTTCCAGATTGCCAGTTTGGTGGTCATCTCAGACTGGACAGAAATCATAACAACATCCAATGGAGACATTTTAAATAGATCATTAATTTGCTATATGTTTGACAACACTCCACTGGTCAAAGCAAATCATAGAAAAGTATCAGCTTGTACTGCCTTTCTGGGTGAAAGCATCTGCAAACTGCCTGGCTTTTCCTCACGCCCCTTTTGTAGCAGTACGGAGCTGGGATGTGCCAGGATGCATGGTATTTCATGTGACATTTGTAATGATGACTGTACTCCTAACTTAGCATCTCGATGAAATGAACATCATTTGCATTAAGACTAGACATTTATTTTTGTGTAAATGAAGGACGTGTCACCGTGGATCTTAATTACAGTAGGAGAGCAATGTAATATCCTTGGCCATATATTTGTCCCATATTTCTCCAAAGGTTGAGACTCTTGACCTTATCTGCTCTGCCCGTGGACCTTTGCATTTTATTATCTGTTCTTATCTGTGTATCTGTGTCTCCTTCTGATCATGAAGATGTCTTTTCTGGACGCATTATGCTCAGTAATTCTGGCCATGTAAAACTGCTGGGGCTCAGTGGTGCATGGAAACCATGCTGCTTCTGTGAAATTCAGAGTGGTTTAGAAAATGCATCATTACTCTGTAATATTGTTTAACTTGCCATTCTGTGTCTGTACCAGAATGTTATGTAATGGGCACTGCTTCTAGATCAGGCATTTTCTTGTGTTTTCGTTATTTTTAATACACTTTTTTAAT